TCCCCCTAAAAAAAAAAAAAAAAAAAACAAAAAAAAACCCTTTTTTTAACTTAATAACTTTCTTTTTTTTAATAGATACAATAATTAAAAACGCAAATAATAAATAAAATAAAAAAACCATCCCGCCCCTTTTTATTTTTTTTTTGGTATCCCCTTTTTTGTATATAGTATATACAAATGTTTTTATTTTAGTTAAATGGGAGTGTTAAAATTTAAAAAAAAATATGGGTTGGAACAATTAAAATTTTTTTATTACTATAATAATAAAATAATAATACAGTATTGTTTTTTGATTTTAATTTTTTTGTTTTATTTTTTAAATGTTTTAAAAATTTAAATTTTATTTTTTTTAATTAATTTCTTGTTTACTTTAATTCTATTTTTTTTTTTTTTTTATTGTTTTTCTTTTTTTTTTTTTTTTTCATTCTTTTAAAATCCTTTATCATATAAAGACAAAATTTGGTAAATATTTAAAATATACTGATTTTTTTTAGTATTTTAGATGCCGATTAAAGAAGAAAAAAAAAAAAAGGTTTGAAGAGAATTAAAAAAGATTTATTCTCCATGGGTATAGGGAAGATGTCAAGGTTTCGTCCTTCATACGGTTTAAATTTAACAATATAATATTATAATTAATTTTATTTTATTATTTAAATTTGAACAAGTATTAATTTCTTAAAACACTTGTGTTCAGGTCGTTTGAAGCATTTATTTGCTGTGATCAGTTAAGATAGGATACGTTGGAGATACAGACATGTGTCTCATACCTAATCGAGGTAACAGCTGACTATCCCTTTTCTACTTTCTTTAATGAAGGATTTGGTTTTTTTAATTAAAAACAAAGTGTAGATTTGCTAATTAGAATACCGTAATTCCAGAACATTACTTTTTTTTTTATAAATTTTTCTTTTATATTTTTGTCATCTCGCTTGCTGCCATTATCTTTGTTCGTCTTGGTTGCTGCCATTGTCTCCAAACGCTCTTCAAAATAAATTTATTTAAAATAATGGAGGGCTTTCAACCTTATTAAAGTATAGATATTCCAAAGTGCTGGTTGATAGTCATATAAATATATTTCTCCCATTTATACATAATATTATTTTCACTTATTTCAAAATTTTTTTTTTAAAAATTATTTTTAATTTTAGATTTGCAAACACACACATAATAAAAGAAAAATGCTTTATTTCAATTCCTAATTTCAAACTCACATTTAAAAGAATTTGTATTAAAGAATCTAGTCGAAAATGTAATTAAAGTCGATTTATTTTCAAATCGACTTGATCATTTACCATTTACCATATTTATAAATACATTTAATTTTTTTCAAAATAAATTAATCATTTGTTGTGGTGTTTGTGTGGGAATTTGATTAAATTTGGTGTAAAAATGAAAAGTTGGTGTAAAAAAAAAAAAATTTAAATTTTTAAAAATTTTTTTATTTTTTTTTATTTTTTTTTTTTATTTTTTATTTTATTAAACCATTTATTTATTTTACAACAAACTTGTTCATTTATTTCTTTGAGTTTTTACCATCAATTTGAAACATAAACCATCATTATATGTTTATTTTAATTTTTTCCTATAGCTTAATTTAAAAATAAGTCATTTTTTTTTTATTTTTTTTTTATTTCTTTTTTTAAAATTTAAATTTAAACCAACTTTTAATTTTTTCCTAAAGCTTATTTTTAAATTTATTTTAATTTTTTTATTTAAAAATTAAAAAATTTATTTTAATTATTTTTTTTATTTCTTTTTTTAAAATTTAAATTTTTTTCATTTTTTTTACTGCTCACCATAATTTGTAAAAAAAAAAAAAATGATACCTTGATTATATAAAAAATTTAAAAGTTCTGATAGTTCATATTATAATTATACATCATCGCATACACCAAATAAAGATACTAACAGCGGTGAAGCTGCATTCTGGAAGATATTTAGAAATAAATTTCTATTCAAATTAATATTTTCAAATTTCAAATTCAAAGAGTTATTCAGCTATGATGATTTAAATGGTTCATTATATATCTTTAAGAAGTTTAGTAATGGTGAAGCAATTTTTAGAGATAAAATAAAAAGTAGAAATTATGTATCTAGAGACTTTGATGATATAGAGTCAGTCATTGGCAAAATCACTAAAAATACCAAAGAGAATAGAGATTTCTATAGACAACTATTTCTAATAAAAAAAGAAGAATTCAGCAACTATTCATACTGGGTGCAAGTATTTGTAAATGTTAAAAATAAAGCTGCATTTATCGAATACAATAAACTTTTTCAAATAGATAAAAGAAATATATCAGTAAAATTTAATTCAAATAAAACGAGCTTAAAACTTTTAAAGATGAAACCTTTTTTAGAATCGAATGGAGTACTAGTAACTGAATGGTTATCAATATATGATGTTATTAAAGGGTTTTGTTATTCACATAAATTCAAAGAGCTCATAAAAATTTACAAGTTTATAATCTCTCAAAACTACCAACCAAAAGAAAAATACGACAATATAGTACAACAACTAAATCACCAATTAAAAACAAATCAATTTAACGATATACAATTAAAATCAACTATTCATACCTTATCGGAATCAAATGATCAATTTTTAAAACCAATTATTCACAACATACTCAAAGTGATAGGTTCAGTTTATAATTTAAAATTCAATGATTCAAAGCTATTAAAACCATTACATTACTATATATACTTTAAAGAAAAGTCTAGATTCCGACAAGTTTTTACAAATAGAAGATATATTTTATCTATGTTCTATAATGATCTACTCAAAGTTACAAATAGTTCCCAATGCATCGAATATCAAAAAAACCTAATTATATCCAATAAAAATGAGCCAAGAAGAAGAAGGCAAATTGAAGAGGCCATTATTTCAAGCCATAATTTAGAACTAATCGATTTCATGTTCGAGCATTTCGGATGCCCATACATGAATATTTGTCTAGTACTAGTTTTAATTAAAAAAACCGAGATAATAGACTACTTTTTCAATAACCATAAAGAACTATTGTTTTATGACAATAATACACTTTGGATTTACGCGGACAGCAAAGTTATAGACCATTTAGAAGAATTAATGAAGAGTATTTCAAGAAAGTTTTTAATTCCATGGGCTCCAGAATACTTGACATATATCCCAAGCAATATAGATTTTTTCCAAAGATTAGAAAAAGCACTCAACAATCCAACACTTTATATACTCGAAGGCAATGAAAATATTCCCACAAACTCTATTAATAGATATAATTCGTATATTTCTCCACTTAATTCTAAACCGGATTCATTTATATCAATGTTAGAAAATCATTTAGAAAAATACGGCATTTCAGAATACTTTGATATCAAACCAATTTTAAAAAGAATTCAACTCCATTACTGGTGTAAATTCATATACTGGATCTTTCAAGACCTTTCAGACCAATATATTCAATCAAACATATCAAATGAAGAATTAACGATTAAATCAGGTATTAATACAACAAATAATCAAAAGTATGAAATTAAAATCAAATGTTTCACTAATTGGCAACTGCTTTTATTTTATTGTGGTCGTTCAAATATTTTATTTCAAAACTTAAATTCAAATTCACAGTTAAAAGAAAATTTATTTAAACGTATTAATTTATTTAGAGCCAATGTATTTCCAAATTTTCTTGACCATTTATCAAAATCAGATTTCCAAAGTGAATGGTTTAGAAGGTTATTAATAATAGCAGCAAAAAATGGTCGTTTTGAACCTTTCAAAGTCATATCAATCAAACACGAGTATTTATATTATGAAAAAAACGATAAAAGTGGTCTTCCCATAATCAATAGTAATCATTTTAGTATTCTCAAATCAAAATGTGTTATAGATGACCTCAGCTTTTTATCTAAATATTTTAAATAGTAAAAAAAAAAAAATCAATAAATCAAACGTATTGATCATAATTAATTTCAAATAATCTAAAAATTATAAATAAATTGTATACAAATACATTCAATTTTTTTCTAAATAAATTAATTATTTTGTTGTGGTGTTTGTGTGGGTGAGTCATCAGTCAATAATATTTTTAAGTTTTTTTTTTTTTTTTATTAAAAATTAATTTAAAAATTAATTTAATTTTTTTTTTTTTCTTTTTTATTATAAATTTTTTTTACTACACACCATAATAAATTGTAATAAAAAAAAATGGTACATAGATTAAATAATAAAATGAAAAGTATTGATAGTTCAGATATTAATAATACGTCATTGCATACACCAAATAAAGATACTAACAGAGGTGAAGATGCATCCTGGAAGGTTTTAAAAAATAAATTTCTATTCAAATTAATATTTTCAAATTTCAAATTCAAAGAGTTATTCATCTATGATGATTTATATGGTTTATTAGATTTCTTTATCAAGTTTAGTAATGGTGATGCAATTATTAGAGATAAAATAAAAGTAGAAATTATGTAATCAGAGACTTTGAAGAAATAGAGATAGTCGCTATCCTAATCAACAAAAATACTATTTTCAACATTACAACACCACAATACTAATGGAAAACTCGGCAACTATACATACTGTGTGGAAAAATTTGCATATTATAATAATATACCTACATTTATCGAATACAATAAACTTTTTCAAATAGATAAAAGAAATTTATCAGTAGAATTTAATTCAAATAATAAAAAGAACATAAATGTTTTAAAGATGAAACCTTTTTTAGAATCAAATGGAGTGCTAGTAACTAAATGGTTATCAATATATGATGTTATTAAAGGATTTAATTATTCACAAAAATTCAAAGAACTCATAAAAATTTACAAGTTTTTTGTAGTTTTGAGCGATTATAAACTTGTAAATTTTTATAAGCTTTTTGAATTTTTGTGAATAATTATCGCTCAAAACTACCAAATAAAAGAAAAATACAACAATATAGTACAACAACTAAATCACCAATTAAAAACAAATCAATTTAACGATATACAATTAAAATCAACTATTGGTACCATATCGCTATCAAATGATCAATATTTAAACCAATTATCCACAACATACTCAAAGTGATAGGTTCAGTTTATAATTTAAAATTCAATGATTCAAAGCTATTAAAACCATTATATTACTATATATACTTTAAAGAAAAGTCTAGATTCGGACAAGTTAATACAAATAGAAGATATATTTTATCCATGTTCTATAAAGATGAATCTCGACTTTCCTTTAAAGTATATATAGTAATATAATGGATATCCATGTTCTATAGTGATCTGTTCACAGTTACAAATAGTGCCCAATGCATCGAGTATCAAAAAACCTAATGGAATCCAATAAAAATAATCCAAATAGAAGGTATATTGAAGAGGCCATTATTTCAAGCCATAATTTAGAACTAATCGATTTCATGTTCATGTCTTTCGGATTCATATCCTACTTTTTCAATAACCATAAAGAACTATTGTTTTATGACAATAACACACCTTGGATGTAGCCGACAGTAAAGTTATAGACCATTTTGAAGGATTAATGAAGAGTATTTCAAGAAAATTTTTAATTCCCATGTATTCTGTGTTTGATTTATTGATTTTTTTTTTAATTTCAAAATAATTTATAAAATTTTAATAAATTGTGTACAAATATATTAAATTTTTTTCAAAATAAATTAAAAATTAATTTTTTTTCTTTTTTATTTTTTTATTTTTAAATTTTTTTATTTTTTTTTAGTACTGATAGTTCAGACTTTATTTTTGGCAATATCACCAAAAATATAATAAAGTTTTTAAAAATAATGATCGAATCGAAAAACCTAATATATATCCCAAATAGAAAGCGGATTGAAGAGGCCATTATTTCAAGCAATATTTTAGAACTAATTGATTTAATGGTGGAGAATCATTAATTGGAAAAATATAAGATATATATCTATTAATAGATTAAACACATCTAAATTTATTATTATTAGTATTTATTATTATTGGTTTATATATAAAGGTTTGATACTTACAAATGTATTTGAAGCTTCCCCACCCAAAAACATTTTTTCGCTATTAACCGTTGTATAGCTTCCAATCAAATTTGGGAATTCATCAATGATCCTTACTTTATTTTTTTAAATTAATTTATAATCTGTTTCCATCAATGTCATAACTTGCATAACAGTCTTGGGCCCAATGTGATGTTCTTCCACAATTGAAGCAGGAATTTTTTTAATTAAAATCGTTTCTATGTACTTCTCTATGGATATTATCTTTAATAACTACTAAATTACTTGGTCTATTATCAACTTTGTTTTTATTAATATGATGAACATGTTCGTTTGGTTCAATGGGTCTTCCAATTTTTTTTTCGGCTACAGTACGGTGGGTGTATTCCTATTATTATTTTTATTATATGAAGAAATATAATTAAAATTGAATAATGAAATATTAATTAATGAATAACTATATTACCCATCCTCCATCATTTGTTTGGTATTGACGATATCCACTTTTGTTATATCTAATATTAAGATTATTGTTATTTGACATTTTATGCTTAAATTGTTTTATTTAATATCAAATAAAAATTTTTAAAAAATAAGAAATTAAAAATTAAAAATTAAAAATAAAAATAAAAAAAAAAAAAAAAAAAAAAAATTATTTCAAAAAAAAAATTTATAAAAAGAATTTATCTTTATCTTTATTTTAAGGCAGCAGTTATTAAATAAATGAAATTTGGATAGCATAGAGAAAACTATCAATTGAGCGCACATAACGGATTTTACTAAGATCAGAGCTTGTGTCAATTGATTAAGTTTTTGGAAGCTGCCGGATAGGTACCATTAAATCATTTCTTCTAATGAACCATTAAATCTTTTCTTCTTCTAAAACCATTCGATGATACCATAGTTGCTTGGCCAGAACAATGTCTGATATTCATCAAATAGTTGGTTAGAATGAAAAAATTCTTTGGTGTTGATTTAACTGAAGGTCTTTTACTTCGATTGGATCTTTACCTTCATGGATTTTGAATATTTGCGATAAATTCTTCTAGTTCTTTTTTTTTTTGATTTTAAATCTTTTTTTTTTCAATTTTATTTTTTTAACTATTATAATCTAAATTATATCTACTAAGATATAAAGAGGTTGAGGTTGTGGTGACTATTATGGAGGTTGATGTTGGAATCTGTTATTGAAATCTAAAAAAATAGTTAGACACTGAATTACTACAGTTTTAAAATTTAAAAAATACTATCTAATACCTACTTTTATTTTTAAAAATTTCATATTCCTCCAATAACTTTTTGGTCTTTTCGAAGTCGGTTTCGATTTTCCTTTCTTCAAATATTTTTTCAAGACCAATTTTTAAATTTAATAATTTTTTTTCATTATTTTTTATAAATAATCCAAAAAATATTCTATCTAATTTAATTAATAAATAGAATCTAAAATGATAATATAAATGTTAATATCTATAATAAATATAAATAAAGTTATATATAAATTAAAAATGAAAAACTTACATAATTGAAATAAATAATGAATAATATAAACACATTGCCTTTTCAGACAAAGTGTCATTTGAAGCAAACTTTTCCCACAAAAAAGTTGCTAAAATTAATTCTATAATAAAAAAATAAAAAACATTTTTTTTATTATTATTATAGTGTTCACATTTTGAGCTGTGAATTTTGGTCTCCAAATTAGTAATTTTGGATTCCATGGCTCTAACTTTTTTTTCAAAAACGAAATCCTAAATACAAATAAAGCAATAATTAGTATTTTTTTTTATAATGTATGTTATATAAGAGATAATTACCTTTTTTGAAAAAAAATTACCCATTTTTTATTATTTTCTTTTTTTAAGGGTAATATAAAATATAAAATATGTATATATAATTATTTAAAAAAAAATATAATATTATGATTAAAAAAACACTAAATAAATTTAAGCTTTGCTATAAAAATTACTTTGATTGCGAGCTTGAATTTAATGAAAAATAAATTCGAAAAAAGTTTTTATAGAGTTTTAAAATTTTTTTAGAAAATGAAAAAAAAAAAAAATTTAATTCATTTTAATTATAATTTCCTTTTGTTAATTTAATAGATTAGATCCAAACTCGGTATTTCCTTTTTTGAACATTCTATTAAATTTTTAATCTGTAGCTATCAAAAAAGTAGTGATCATCCGTTTATTTTTTAAACAGATCATCCAAATAAAAAAGAAATTTAATTAAAAAAAATTTAAAAAAAATTTAAAAAAAATTAAATTATAACCCCACCACACACTTTTTTTTATTATTAATATAAAAAGTGGCTAATGTTTGGGAAATGAATTAATAAATTTTTATTTTTTTTAATTAAATAAAAATGAATATTACCAATTTTAGAACCCATTGCAATCTGAATTATTAAAAAAAAAAAAATGATGATGCCAACTGTTTAATTTAAACAAAAAAAATTTTAATAGTATTTTTCATTTTTTTTTTATTAAAAAAAAAAAATTAATAATCATATGAAAAAAATTTGATTAAAAAAAAAAAATTAAATATTTGATTATTTATTTATTTATTTTAAATAATTAACTTTAAAGTCATTGAGTTGAGAAATTTCTTTTTATTTTTTTTTTTAATTTTTTTTTTTAATTTTTATTTTCATTATTTGAGCAGGAAGAAATCATGCATCAGCAAAAGTAGTTACAGAAGCAGCCAAGGAATCCAAAGAATCAATTATTGATCAATAATTTAACTGTTTCTTTATTTTCGTTATTCTCTATAAACCATCTAAGTTTGTGATAATATTTTCATTACATTCGAGCATATAAGGCGTTGGATTGTTGAGTACAATATTCTCTCAAACTCTATTAATATATATATAAATCGAATATTTTAATGATTATTGATTCCCCACAGGATTCATTAATATCAATGTTAGCAAAGAATTTAGAAAAATACGGCACTTCAGAATACTTTGATATTGAACCAATTTTAGATTGAATTAAATTCCCTCACTGGCATAAATTCATATACTGGATCTTTCAAGACCTTTCAGACCAATATTTCCAATCAAACGTACCAAATGAAGAATTAACAATTAAATTAGGTATTAATACAACAAATAATCAAAAGTATGAAATTTAAATCAAATGTTTCACTAATTGGCAACTGTTTTTATATTTTTGTGGTCGTTCAAATATTTTATTTCAAAACTTAAATTCAAATTCACAGTTAAAAGAAAATTTATTCAAAGATATTGATTTATTAAAAGCCAATGTATTTCCAAATTTTCTTGACCATTTATGAAAATCAGATTTCCCAAAGTGAATGGTTTAAAGATTTATTAATAAAAGCAGAAAATTATGGTCGTTTTGAAATCTTCAAAGTCATTTCAATCAAACAGAAGTATTAATATTATGAAAGCGATAAAAGTGGTCTTTCAATAATAAACAATGATCATTTCAGTATTCTCAAATTAGAATATGTTATGGATGACCGCAGTTTTTTATCTAACTATTTTAAATAGTAAAAAAAAAAATCAATAAATCAAATGTATTGATCATAATTAATTTCAAATAATCTAAAAATTATAAATAAATTGTATACAAATACATTCAATTTTTTTCTAAATAAATTAATTATTTTGTTGTGGTGTTTGTGTGGGTGAATCATCAATCAAAAACATTTTTAAGTTTTTTTTTTTAAAAAATAAAATTAAAAATTAATTTAATTTTTGTTTTTCTTTTTTTATTTTTTTAATTTTTTATTAATTTTTTTTTTACTGCACACCATAAATTGTAATAAAAGAAAAAAAAATGTTACAGAGATCAAATACCAATAATAATAATAATAATAAAAATACTGATAGTTCAGATTTTAATTATACATCATCTAATACACCAGGTTTGGTTTTTACACCAAATAAAGATACTAATAGCGGTGAAGATGCATTCTGGAAGGTATTTAGAAATAAAGTTTTATTCAAATTAATATTTTCAAATTTCAAATTCAAAGATTTTTTCAGCTATGATGATTTATATGGTTCATTATATATCTTTAGCAAGTTTAGTAATGGTGATGCAATTTTTAGAGATAAAATAAAAAGTAGAAATTATGTATCTAGAGACTTTGATGATTTATATTTAGTCATTGACACAATCACTAAAAATACCAAAGAGAATAGAGAATTCTATAGAAAACTGTTTCCAATAAAAAAAGGAGAATTCAGCAACTATTCATACTGGGTGCAAATATTTGCAAATGTTAAAAATAAAGCTGCATTTATCGAATACAATAAACTTTTTCAAATAGATAAAAGAAATATATCAGTAAAATTTAATTCAAATAAAACGAGCTTAAAACTTTTAAAGATGAAATCTTTTTTAGAATCAAATGGAGTACTAGTAACTGAATGGTTATCAATATATGATGTTATTAAAGGGTTTGATTATTCACATAAATTCAAAAAGCTCATAAAAATTTACAAGTTTATAATCGCTCAAAACAACCAAATAAAAGAAAAATACAACAATATAGTACAACAACTAAATCACCAATTAAAAACAAATCAATTTAACGATATACAATTAAAATCAACTATTCATACCATATCGCTATCAAATGATCAATATTTAAAACCAATTATTCACAACATACTCAAAGTGATAGGTTCAGTTTATAATTTAAAATTCAATGATTCAAAGCTATTAAAACCAATTAAATACTATATATACTTTAAAGAAAAGTCTAGATTCAAAGAAGTTTTTACAAATAGAAATTTTAATTATTCCTCACAACATATTACCTTACTCTATAAAGATCTACTCACAGTTACAAATAGTGCTCAATGCATCGAATTTCAAAAAAACCTAATTGAATCCAATAAAAATAACCCAAACAGAGAGTGGATTGAAGAGACCACTATTTCAAGTAATAATTTAGAACTAATCGATTTCATGTTCAAGCATTTCGGATTCCTATACTATAGTATTGATAAAGTAGTAGGTTTAATTAAAAACATCGAGATATTAGACTACTTTTTCAATAATCATAAAGAACTATTGTTTTATGACAATAATACACTTTGGATTTACGCGGACAGCAAAGTTATAGACCATTTCGAAGAATTAATGAAGAGTATTTCAAGAAAGTTTTTAATTCCATGGGCTCAAAGAAAACTGAAAAATACCGCAGAAGATTTAGATTTTTTCAAAAGATTAGAAAAAGCACTCAACAATCCAACACTTTATATGCTCAAAGGCAATGAAAATATTCCCACAAACTCTATTAATGGATATGCATCGTATATTATTAAAATTAATGATTCTACACAGGATTCATTTATATCAATGTTAGCAAAGCATTTAGAAAAATACGGTATTTCAGAATACTTTGATATTGAACCAATTTTAAAAAGAATTAAATTCCCTATCTGGCATAAATTCATATATTGGATCTTTCAAGACCTTTCAGACCAATATATTCAATCAAACTTATCAAATGAGGAATTAACAATTAAATCAGGTATCAATAAGACAAATAATCAAAAGTATGAAATTAAAATCAAACATTTTATTGATTGGCAACTGCTTTTATTTTATTGTGGTCGTTCAAATATTTTATATCAAAACCTAAATTCAAATTCACAATTAAAAGAATATTTAATTAAATATTTTGATTTATTTAGAGCCAATGTATTTCCAAATTTTCTTGACCATTTATCAAAATCAGATTTCCAAAGTGAATGGTTTAGAAGGTTATTAATAATAGCAGCAAAAAATGGTCATTTTGAACCTTTCAAAGTCATATCAATCAAACACGAGTATTTATATTATGAAAAAAACAATAAAAGTGGTCTTCCCATAATCAATAATAATCATTTTAATATTCTCAAATCAGAATGTGTTGTGGATGACCTCAGCTTTTTATCTAAATATTTTAAATAGTAAAAAAAACCAATAAATCAAATGTAATTTCAAAATAATCTAAAAAGTTTAAATAAATTGTATACAAATACATTTAATATTTTTCAATCATTTTGTTTTGGTGTTTGTGTGAGTGAGTCATCAAGCAATAACATTTTTAAGTTTTTTTTTTATTTAAATTCATTTAAAAATTATATTAATTATTTTTTATTTTGTTTTTCTTTTTTTTATTTTTTTATTTTTTTATTTTTTTTATTTTTTAAATTTTTTATTAATAAGCTTTAGGAAAAAATTAAAAGTTGGTGTAAAAAACCTATATGGTAGAGTAAAACAAGCATTACTTATCTTAACTGGAAAATACAGAGGTTGTTTAAATGAGTGTGAAGATATTGTATTTAAAACACTGTAAATTTGAATTTAGGCCATCATATAAAATATCTAAATAACCACAATAGAATAAAAGCGGATCCATTTATATCAATGTTAGAAAAGCATAGAGAAGAACACTTATGAAAAAACCTTTTTTATTTGAAATAAAGTCAATCTATTTTCAAATTTACTTTAACATTTATCAAAATCAGATTTCGAAAGTGAATGGTTTAAAGAGTTATTAATAAAGGCAACAAAAAATGGTCGATCTTCAAAGTCATTTCAATCAAACACAAGTATTTTAACACCAAAACAAAATAATTAATTTATTTAGAAAAATATTAAATGTATTTGAATACAATTTATTTAAACTTTTAAGATTGTTTGAAATTAATTTTAAACAATATTTGATTTCTTGATTTTTTTTTACCATTTAGATAAAAAGCTGAAGTCACCCATAACACATTCTAATTTGAGAATACTTAAATTATTACTTATTCTACACAGGATTCCGCAATATCAATATTAGAAAAGCATTTGGAAATACAGCACTTCAGAATACTTTGACATTGAACCAATTTAAATATCTGAATTTTAAAACTGCTATAAATTCATATAAGGTAATTCTTGTTTGATTTTTTGTGCCAATATACTTTGGGTAGCAGTGTGGTGCATTTCGTTTCACTGGTTTTTGTGTTTTTTATCCATTAAGTCTCTGTATATCTCCTTTAGTTTGACAGATGAGTTATATAATGGTTTGATTTGTTTTTCGGGTTTTTCTATATCTTTTTTTCGAGGAGTTGGTAAAAGTTGTGCCCATGCATTTTTGCATTTCTTTTTATATTCACTTTCTTTCTCCAACCATAGTATTGGAATGATGCAAATTGAGCTAGATTTTTTTCTGTTATTTGGTCGAGTTTGAATCCCTTTTTTGTTAAAGTTGAAGCCTAGGTATCTTTCAAGTTTTTCCTTTTTCTAATTGTGAATAAATTTATTCACTTTCTCGAAAATAAAAAAAAAATCGTTCCATAGCTTTTTCTTTTAAAAAAATATAAAATGCCTGGATGGCTTTTTTTTTTTTTTTTTTTGCTTTTTAAAAATATATTTATTCCATTTTATTATTTTATTAATTATAAGACCTAAGTACTGAATTGACCAGATATTACTTGAAGCAAAATTAAACCGTTGCAATTTGGTTGAATAAATTGAATTATTCTGAGGTAACTTAAAAAAAGAAAAATAAAGTGGTAATATTTAATAAATGTGAACATTCGTTTTCGAATGAATCATTTATTGGTGGTAAATAAAGTGGTAGGTTTTATTTTTGGTAGATAATAGTGGTAGGGTCTGATGAATTTAAGGTATAATTTCATCATCTAGTTTAATGGTAAAAATGTTAGTAACATTGCATTAAAATCAACATAATGTGGTATACTATTTGGTTGTAAGCCAAATGGTTCTGGAATTGTGAATTTTGGTTTTAATATTCCTTTTTCGATGTTGATTTTAATAATGTTTTGTTTGGATGATTTTTTAGGAAAATATTTCTTGTCAAATCATTTGTGAATGTTGTGGTATTATTATCTTTGGTTCTGTTTACCTTAGATGCACCAGTGTAGTTTTAGATTATACTGGTTATGTTGTGATGTGGTGTAGTTTTTGTTTCAAAAAAAAGAATTTATTCATTATTATTAATAATATTTTTTAAAAATTTTTTTTGAAAATTTGTGTTTAATTTATATGATGATTTTGGATGGTAATTTTTGTTTTAATAGTTCTGGTTTTTTAGTATGTTAAAAGTGTTATTTAGGTGACCAGACTTATTAAATTTTGGAATACATTTTAGGTATTCTGGATAAGTATTTTAAAGAGTATTTAGTGAATAAAATGGATTTTGAGCAGAATATTGATTATTTTGTAGTGGAATAATGCAATTATTAGTATCCAAGTTATCATCACCATTATTTTGATTATTATTTTTTTAAATTTTGTTTGTGAATGAATAAATAAAAGAGATAGACCGATCAACTAGTGAGATCTCAATTAGATTTCGTCTACTTAAAAAAGTTTTAAAAAATCAAAGAAAATTTTGGATTTATTTAAAACAGTTAATGAAAGTGTATGTGGTGATATACAGTATTTCGCGAAAGTTTTGACCCCCATATAAAAAATATATGAAAAAAATTTATTTTTAATCATATCTTAGGTTTTTGACTATAAATCCATTTTAAAAATATTTATAAATAAACTTATACGGTTTTATTATTTTTTTTTTGTTAAATAAAATTTTAAAATTTATTTTTTTAAAAAAATTTTTTTAATTTTTTTTTTAAAGCGCCCATAGAAAATGGGGTCTAAATTTTTGAGAAGATAATTCAATTTTATAATAATTTTTTATTTTTATTTTAAATTTTTTTCAAAAACAAATAAGACAGAATATTCATAAAAAATAGAAAAAAAATACAATAATGACCCTTTTTTTAGAGTTAATAAAAATGATTTTAAAAATTTACAGAAAAGGAAAAAGTCATCAAAAAGTAAAAGATATAATGAGTGTAGTAGGTCCTCAGTTAAGAGAATTTTTAAAAAATTAATCTAGAAAAAGGTACAATTGAAGAAAATCCAATACCTGACATAATAAGAAAAATGGAGGACCGAATTGAAAGACATTGCAGAAAAAAAATTTTAAATGGGAAATGTTATAATTTAAGTAATACAAAAAGACATATTCGAAAAAACTTTCAAAAAAATGTTTCAACTAGTACAACTAGTAGGTCTTTACAACATAATAATGTTTTTTTTAAAAGTTTAAAAAGTAAACATTTTCCTTCCGAAAAATCTTAGCTCAAAGCTAAGGTGGGCAAAATAGTTCCAAAATTGGGCAGCTGATAATTGGGAAAAGGGTAATATTTGTTGACGAAACCAGAATTGAAGGATTTTCTAATTAAATGGAACCTAAAAAATGGATTCATGGTGTAAGAAACCTTCAAAGCAATATTTTGGCCAAATGAAGATGAAGCGGCAGCTCAATATATACATGATTCTGTGGCACAGCTCATGGTGCAGGTCGTATATGTATTGTCAGGTTTAACACAAATCCTGAAAAATATTTAGAAATAACAATACAGAGTTATAGAAGAACTTTACAAGAGAAATCAATTTTATCTGGTGATACGTTTTTTTTACAAGAGAATTGCTCTATTCATATGACCCAATTATTGACCTGTTTTTACGAAAAAATGAACATTAGGGTGATATTTGTTCCACTCTGTGCACCAGTTCTTAATATTATGGAGAATATATGGTCAATGGTAAAACGACGTATAAACTTGATTTCTATCAGGTATCCACGTCATAATTTCAATCTATTAATTGGTAGAATTTTGAAAAATATTAAACAAGATATATTTGATAATCTTTATCAATCAATCCCAAGAAAAATACAACAAACAAATAAGAATTAAGGTGGATTAACAAAATATTAAAAAAAAATCATAAAAAAAAAAATTTCTTTTAAAAAATAAAATTATATATTAAAATTTTAATTATCTTTTTGAAAATAATGAACCCATTTTTTTTATATGTAAAAAAAAAAAAAAAAAAATTTTAAAAAAAAAAAATTTTATTTTATTTTTTTTTTATAAATAAATATAGTTAAGATGTTTTGAAATTTATTTTATATTTTTTTTGAATTATTGAAATTAAAATTATTGAAAATAAACAAAAAAAAAAATTTTTTAAAAAAGGGGGTCAAAACTTTTGCGAAATACTGTATGTAGATTATATACAAAATCAACAAAAGGTGTGTAAAAAATAAAATGAATTGTATAAAAAGGTAGTAAATTTCATTAAACAAAATGAATGATGTTGTAATTGGGGGTAATTAATTATAGTTAAAGATATAGTAATAATAACTATAATAAAAAAGTGTTGAAATACGGGGGGGATGAAAATTTTTGTGTATGAAATGCCTGGGATGGCTCAGTAGGCAGAGGGAGCGGCTTTTAACCCCCTAGGGCCCTGGGTTCGATCCCCTGGTCTAGGGGATTTTTATACCTGGTTTTTATCCTCCCCGGGGGAAAAAAATCAAAAAAAAACAAAAAAATGGGGGGG